TTGACAGCCCCCCGCAGCCATTGCCGCCATGATTCCGGTGTCGCTGGTGGTGGTGGTGGTGGGTGGCTGGACTGCCGTCTACCTGACCGACTTGGTGCTGAAGGTGAGGGCCTCGGGCCTAAGGTCCAAGCCCGTGCTGCCCAGGGCTGGAACGCAAGGTCCTGGGTCGCTGGAGGCCTTCTTTTCTTTTCTCCTGCCTTGCACCTCCCTGGCTGGAAGCCGCGAGGCCGGTGCCCACGTGCTGCCTTCCGCGTGGCGCATCGGCCCCGTGGAGTAAATAAAGCACGTCTGGCCACGGGAGGGGTGTGGCGACCCGCGCGGCAGCGGCTGTCGCAGTGCAGGGCTGTAGAGGCCCGGCCGACTTCAGGTCCTGCAAGGGAGTAACCGGTGGTGGGCTTGGGAGGGGCCTCCCAAACCCTGTGGAAGCCTTGCACCAGGGAGGAAAATAAAACGTCCTCTTAGGAAAGGCATTGTTTTTCCTCATTGTTTTTAAGGTCACGAGACCCTCTAGGGACTCTGGTGTTGAATGAATCTAAACTCAATTCATGATTTCAATCTTTAAAGTGCATATGATCATATGGGGTTCCAGTTAAAATGAGTATTCTGATCCAGCGGGTCTAGGGCGAGGCCTAAGAGTCTGCATTTCTAACTAGTTCCTAAGTGCTACTGATGCTGCAGGTCCACAAACCATATTTCAAAGTAGCATACTCCAGTCGCATGGATTTAGAAAACCAGTTTCTGACTACTTAAATTCTGATTTGCAGCCTGCACCCCTTTCTACATGCTTAGCCACCCACACCTTGGGGTACTTGGTCTTTTTTTCAGTTAGTTGGAAACAGTAGCAAAAAAGTCTGACCAGATGATTCAAGCAGCCTTTGGTATTGAATATTGCTGGGGGTGGAGGACTGGAATAAATGTTTCATAAATCCAGTTATGAATAGTAAAAACTTCATGCTATAAATACCATTTATAGTATTGCGTGTTTTAGTTTAACAATAAAAACGAACTAGACTTGCTTTTTTGTTGCAGTCAGACTGCAAAGTGTAGGAAGTGTAGGCTCTAGAGTGAGGCCTGAGATCTGCCTCTTCCTAGCTGGTCTTAACTCTAGCAAATTACTATCTGCCTTGGTTTCTCACCTTTGAATAGGGCTATTAATAGTGATCTCCTGAGATTACTGAGAGGATTAAATTAGTGCATCCACATAAAGTTGTGCTACTCATCCTGATGTCCAAGAACCAGCAGCATTTGGATCATCTGGAAGCTTGTTAGAAATGCAGAATCTTGGGACTGGCAGGTGGCGTGCTGGTTGGGGGTGCTGGACTCCCACATGGCTGACTGCAGTTCAAGTCCTGGACCAGGCAGCTTGCTTTCTCAATCTCCTTTTCTCTCTCACTCTGTCCCTCTCTGGTCAAATTAAGAAGAATAAATAAATAAAGTGAAATAAAAATAATTATTAAAAAAAATGCAAAATCTTAGGCCTCGCCCTTGACCTACAGAATCAGAATCTGCATTTTAACTGGATCCCAGGTGATTTCAATGCGTGGTTGTATTTGAGAAGTGCTGATGTAAAGTACTTGGCTTAGTGCTTATTGTGTCATAAACAATACAAGCCACAGTGACTTTGTTTTGGGGGAAAGGAAGCCACATGATTTCTTCATGTTGCATATATCAAAAAAAAATCCAAAATACAAAGAACTCTTCAAACTTTTATGGTCTCTGGTCAAGTGTATGAGGTGATCAGGATGTCACTTTCAATTGCAGTGACAGCCTCTACTTCCCTAAGGACCACTGCTCCCTGAGTAAAAGACCTAACAACACTCATTCAGATTATCTGCCTAGGGAATGGAAAGACATCAACTTTTAGGGACCCGCACCTTAAACTTCTTTGCTTCCAGCTTGGTCTGGCTGTTGCACAGTAGGTTTTTCTAGGAGTTCCACAATAGACATCTGCTAGAAGGATGTGTTACTCTCCTTTTCTACGTCCTAGAAAACAAGCAAGTTTTAAAAACCGCTTGAAAATGCAGAACAGAGAACATTACAGGTTGAAAGCAAACAGATACTTATATGGAAACCTAGGTTATTATTTGACTGCACAAGGGCTGAAATATCCTTCCAGAACAGGTTAATTCTCACATGGGTGGGTATGACTATCACAAAGTACTACTTACTGTGCTTACTGTAATTGTGTAAGGTGTAGAACACAGCCTTTTGTTATTCAAAATCCTATATTAGTCAAGGACTTCAAACTTCTCTAAAGGTAAAACTCTTGTCGGGGGCTATAAGGGGCTGTTAAGCAGCTATTCTCACAACTGTGGAAAATTTAAGAGATGTTACTGAGACCCAGATGGCTTTAGATAAATTTTGTACTTATGATTAGTTTTTCTACCTTCTTAAGGTTGTTGCTGAAAAGTTAAGAAACACTGATTCCAACTAATCTGTCACTTCTATTGGATTTGCTGAGGGTTTTTTGTTTGTTTGTTTTTAATTATAACACAGTATCTCTCCTATGGCAGCAAGGCCTATAGGTTTGTGCTGTACAATATGGTAGGTACATGTGCATACCGAGTGTTTGAAATAAGACTAATCAGAATTGAAATATGTTGAGTATATGGTTGATGTGGGTTTTCATAAAATTAGTACCGAAAAAAAAGAATAAAGTATCTCGACAGTTTTTGTACCAAGTACATGTTAAGATGATATCATGGATATTTTGGGTTAAAAATATATGAAAATCTTGGGACCAGTAGTTGTCATAATGGCTATGTCACTGGGTTTCCATGTAGTCAACCGTGGTTCGAGTCCCGGACCTAGTGGCTTAAACTCATGCTGGGTGCGTGTGCATGCGTGCCCAAGATCCCGAGAGGAGAATGGAGGAGAAGGGATTGCGGCACATAAATTTATTTCCTCTGTATTGTGTGTCCTTGGTGATTTGTGCATAACTTGTGACCCATCATACCATAACCACCCTGACAACTTTTGATTCTCTTAATATTTACTTACAGGTTAAGTGACTGGCAGAATGAATTCAAAGAGATTCAGAATTTTAAATATTTAAATTTAACATGTTGAACTCCATGTCTAGAAATAAAATTCAGAAATAACCAAATGTTTGATCAGTAGATAATTATCCAGTGCTTAGTAGGTGGATAGGATGGAGTAGACCATCTTTACCCTCAGGCTTGCGAAGACCATGCATACAGCTAGTTTCTCTGCTAGAGATGCTAGAGGGGTATGCACAAGTGAGCCTTTGAGGCAGCCCCAACAATCCCCCCACCTTCTGGTCTTCACACTCATATTGTATCAGGTTCCCATAGCAGTATATGGTAGAAGTGAGAGTTTTTTGTTTGTTTGTTTTTAATTATAACACAGTATCTCTCCTATGGCAGCAAGGCCTATAGGTTTGTGCTGTACAATATGGTAGGTACATGTGCATACCGAGTGTTTGAAATAAGACTAATCAGAATTGAAATATGTTGAGTATATGGTTGATGTGGGTTTTCATAAAATTAGTACCGAAAAAAAAAGAATAAAGTATCTCGACAGTTTTTGTACCAAGTACATGTTAAGATGATATCATGGATATTTTGGGTTAAAAATATATGAAAATCTTGGGACCAGTAGTTGTCATAATGGCTATGTCACTGGGTTTCCATGTAGTCAACCGTGGTTCGAGTCCCGGACCTAGTGGCTTAAACTCATGCTGGGTGCGTGTGCATGCGTGCCCAAGATCCCGAGAGGAGAATGGAGGAGAAGGGATTGCGGCATGGCCACCCTGCTGGGAGTGATTTCTTGCTTTCTGTGTCTCTGTCTCTCTCTGTCTTTCCCTTTTCTTGGGGGGTAGGAGAGATTTTTGCTATAGGGCGTGTGCGCTCGCCAGAAAGACAGAGAGAGACAGAGACAGAAAGTGAGAAATCACCCCCATGGGGGATGGCCACGCCGCAATCCCTTCTCCGTTCTCCTCTCGGGTCAACTACATGGGAATTCAGTGACATAGCCATTACGCTAATTGCTGGTCCCTCTCTCTTTCTGGCGAGCACACGTGCCCTATAGCAAAAACCTCTCCAAAAATAATTACATGTATGGCTTTCATTAGTGGCTCGTATTATATTTCTGTTGGACACCAGTATTCTAAGAGATCAGGAAACTTTTTTAAAGGACCAGGTAGTAAATAGTTTACTTTGCAGACTGTACAGGGTCTCTGTTGTATGTTCTTTTTTTTTTATTGTCTCTTTTTAAAAATCAATCCCTGAAAAATGTAAAAACTGTTCTTAGCTCACAGCCTGCATGAAAACAAAAATAGGCTATATAAATTGTTCTTCAAAATTGAGTGATGTGGAACTTTTCTTTCTCTCTTAGTCATCAGTCTACTTTAAACATTCTTATGAAGACTGGCTAGAAAACAATGGATTGAGCATCTCCCCGTTTCACATAAGATGGCAAACTGCAGTTTTCAATCGTGCCTTTTACAGTTGGGGTCGACGGAAAGCAAGGATGCTTTACCAGTGGTACTTTTCATTTTCTCTTTTTGGTTTATATCAGTCATTGTGATCATGAAAAATTGCTTGTCAAATTAACTGTTCCCATTATTTTCAGGTCTACTGAGGTTTTAAATATTGACACTCTCAAAATGATCTGTTTTTATATAACTTTATGGGATTATATCATAGTGTTTTCCTGTACATTAAAAATGAAGGGATTTATGGCATTTTCTGGGTAGGGGGTTTGCAATGACCTCCGGAAACCAAAGATATAGGCTCTCTAGTTAAGAGAATGTGAGATTGGGGGTGATATGGTCTAAATTCCTTTTTGTGAAAAATTTAGATACTAGCAGTTGGTGTAATGGTTACATTGATGGACTCCCACATAGTTGACTGTGGTTTGAGTCCCAGACCCAGTGGCTTGAACTCACACAGGGTGCATGTGCATGCATGCTCAAAACCTCGAGAGGAGAATGGAGAAGAAGGGATTGTGGTGTGACCATTCCTCCTGGGGGTGACTTCTCACTTTCTATCTCTTTCCGTCTTTCTATCTTTCTGGCGAGCACATGTGCCCTATAACAAAAATCTCTCTCTAATAAAAATTACCTCCAAATGGGTGAGAGATTCATGTAAACAATCAGATTATCAAAGAGTTAGCAAGAAATTCAACAGGAAATCAGAGCATACCAAGTAGAAAGAAGGAAATAATAAAGATAAATGCGGATATTGGTGAAACAGAAAGTATAGCAAAAAATCAGCAAAGCCAAAAAGTTAGTTATTTGAAAAGATTAATAAGATTGAATAATGCCCACCATGAGTGATCTAGAAAATACAAGAAACTGGGACCGGCATTTAGCATAATGGCTATGTTGCTGGACTCCCATGTAGTCGACCGTGGTTCACGTCTCAGACCCGGTGGCTTAAAATTCACACCAGGCGCATGTGCGTGCGTGCCCAAGATCCCGAGAGGAGAATGGAGGAGAAGGGATTGCGGCATGGCCATCCCCCCTGGGGGGGGTGATTTCTCGCTTTCTGTCTCTCTGTCTCTCTTTTGTCTGTCTGGCGAGCGCACGTGCCCTATAGCAAAAACCTCTATAAAAAAATACAAGAAACTCCAAAAAAAAAAAAAAAGAAAAAGAAATATAAGAAACTAAAAATCAGGATTGAAAAGGGGAATAGATACAGAGTTTATAGCTATTAAAAAATAAGACCATCATGAATAATTCTATGCCTATATACTTGATAATTTAGATGAAATGGACAAGTTACTTGAAAAACACAATTTATCAAACAGAAAATTGGCTCAGCCAAGGTGGAACAGGCACACAGTGCTGCAACACAATACTGGAGCTGTATGGGAAGCCCAGGTTCAGATCCTGGGTTGACCTGAACATACTGGGCACACCCCTGATACTAGCTGGGAGACTGAGAGGAGAATTCCTGCATGGTATAGTCCTGTTAAGGGTACTTCTCTCTCTCTCAATAAATAAAATAAACTTTTTCTTTTCTTTTCTTTTCTTTTCTTTTTTTTTTTTTTTGAGAGGTTTTCGCTATAGGGTGCATGCGCTCGCCAGACAGACAGAGACAGACATAGAGACAGAAAGCGAGAAATCACCCCCCAGGGAGGATGGTCACGCCACAATCCCTTCTCCTCCATTCTCCTCTTGGGATCTTGGGCACGCACGCACATGCGCCCGGAGTGAGTTTTAAGCCACCTGCTCCGGGACGTGAACCACGGTCAACTACGTGGGAGTCCAGCGACATAGCCATTACGCTAACTGCTGGTTCCCAATAAATAAAATAAACTTTTTCTAAAAAGTTAAAACCTATAGCACTTACTCCCAACTATAGAAGGGTTACTTCTGATTATTAAAACAGAAGAAAAGGGCCAGCTGGTGGCACAATAATAACACAAAACCGTGATGCTAGATCCACATGGGAAGGTCCCAGGTTCGTGTCCTGTGCTCTTCTTGTATATGGTGAGCAGGCATCTCCAGAATTTAGGTTGACTAAGTTTGGGGATGGATCATAGCATGAAGACCCTGTTGGGGATGTGTGTCTCTCTCTTTCAGGAACACAATAAACTTTAAAACAGTAGAAGAAAGAAATAACCATTAGATTTGACTATGCTGTTTGTTCATTTTGTCAGAGGGTACATCCACTTGTCAGAGTGAGAAAGAGATAAAGGGAGAAGGAGAACACACTCCCAAATGGGTATGGTCATGCCACAGTTCATTCTTCATTTCTCCTTCCTTTGAGGATTTTTGGCACATACTCACATGTGTCTGGTGTGTTTCTTTTTTTTTTTTTTTTCTTTTTTTGGAGAGGATTTTTCTTATTGGGCGCGTGCGCTTGCCAGAAAGACAGACAGAGACAGAGTGATAGAAAGCGAGGCGAGACCCCCCAGAGGGGATGGCCATGCTGCAATCCCTTCTCCTCTATTCTCCTCTCGGGATCTTGGGCATGCACTCACATGTGCCCAGTGTGAGTTTAAGCCACTGGGCCTGGACTCGAACCACGGTCGACTACATGGGAGTCCAGCAACATAGCCATACGCTAACTGCTGGTCCCTGTCCAGTGTATTTCTGAACAACCCGGTCTGGAACTCGAACCATGGGGTTGGCCATGTGGGGATCCAGCTGCCTTAACCACCAGGCCATGGAGGTAGCCCACATTTTACCATGTTAAATTTTAGCTCATTTACACAAAATGAACCTAAAATACAATGCAGACAATGGAAGACATCTATTGTGTCAAAAGTGTTCATAATTATATAAGAGCATGATCAAAACAGTACTCGGCAAATGAGCAAATATACTGGAGGAAACAAATGTTTTTTATTGGAAACAATCTTCAACTTCTTTAGTTACCAGAGTCTTGTAAATTATTAGACCACTTAAAGAAACTAGAGCCCGTGCTTCAGTCAGGTATTTCAAGTTTGGGTAGGAAAAAAAGGCAGAGTTATTGAAATTGTTTAGAAATTATTTTGAAGCTGTGAAATGTGGTTGGTCAATGAACTTGGTAGCCCATGAATTTTAAGGAATTGTACATTTACGAGATTTTTTTTCTTGACAGGTTCAATTTTGGAATGGTGTTTGGCGTAATTGCCATGTTTAGCTCGTTTTTTCTCCTTGGAAAAACGCTGATGCAGACTTTGGCACAAATGATGGCTGATTCTCCCTCTTCTTATTCTTCTTCCTCTTCTTCCTCCTCTTCTTCCTCTTCCTCCTCCTCTTCATCCTCTTCCTCTTCATCCTCCTCAGCTCTTCACAATGAACAGGTGCTACAAGTTGTAGTAAGTGCATTCTTTTTTTTTTTTTTTGCTTTAAATAACTTTTTTGAAATATACATATATGATATTTCTTCGGGCTAGTATAACCATATCTATAATTTAAATATGAAAGTAAGTTAAAAGTCACAATTTTTCATATTACTCATTTAAAAAAATTAGTAAGAACGTAGCAAGGAATTGTTTCAGTATCTGGTGGTGGTGATAGTGGTGGTAGTAGCAGAGAGCACATGGACCACTATGAAGACCATTGACATTTACACAGATACTCAGCTTAAGAGATTGTTCTCATGATGTTCAGTGATTGTTACTTTTAAGGAATAATCATGCTGATTTAAGATCTCTATAATGTGTAAATTTATTGTATTTTAATCCCATGCCAAGTGTTCCCCTTTCCTCTTCATGGCTTTTAGAGTCTAACCAATGAGTTCCTCTGAATTAAAGATGTAAGACCTCTCTGAATGGTAACTGGGAATTCTTGATTTGGAAGAATACCATGCTTAGTTGTAGTCCTTTGTAAGCTAGCTATAATAACTCATTCTAAAATACATGTGTCTTCCTATTTTGTACCATTACATGCCTCCAGTTCGGAAGGAGCTTTACAGTCAGCTCACTTTTATAGCTTCCATTTCCATGAATCATGGATGTTATGTTTTTGATCATGTTCTCGTTGATGGAATATAGTGTTTAATAGTTCGTAACAAATTTTTTAACTCTTTGTGGCCTCTGTGAGGCTGAGTCATTATAGGAAGGTTTAGATTAATTTGTAGAGGATGATAAGGAATCTCTTCTGTGGTCCTAGGTCTTCCTTAGGGGTTAAAAAGACACAGCAGGTGAGACCTCAGAGCAGATGATATAATTCCTCAGCAAATATTTGCTGAGTATCTTCTGCTACTGACTATGTGCCAGGTCCTGGTTATATGGGGAACAAAATCCAGTCCTAGCACTTTGGAGCTTTTAGCCCAGAAGGAGACCTGCTATGATTGTGCCCCAGTTGGATATCATATCAAGTGCTGTGGGAATGGAGAAAGGAGTGTGATATGTGCCTGACACTAGTAAGAAAATAAAGGCAGAACTTTGACAAAAGGGTGAGGAGAGTCCCTGTAGCCTGGGAGAAGAAGGTGGAAACTAAGCAGCCCTGGTAGTAGAGGGAACAATATAATATGGAAAAGTAGAGGGAATACTTATAGTAATAATAAAGCCTAGTTAATATGCAGTGCCTCCTTTGTGGGGTTTGTTGTGCCCGTGTTTGATATAAGTATTGGTGTCATCCCTGACTGACAGATGAACAAATCGAGGCACAGAGGCATTAAGTCACTTGCCTGCAGCCAAAGGTAGTAAGAAGTGGATCCATCATCACTGACCTTAAAGTCTACATACATTATGCTCTAATGGGACATATGACCCAGCCACGGTGTATGCTGCCAAGGCACTGTGATCTGCAGACTGGAACACACAGGGAGTCTGAGTTCACTTTCTAGCCCAACCTAAATGCTGGTTGGAGTGGCGTATACTGCTACCCAGCAACTGGGAACACTGAGGGAGGAAGATTGTTAGCTGGAAGCCAACCTGGGAAACATAAAGAGATCCTGTCTTTAAAAAATGTAGGGGGAGTAGCGGGTGGCATGGTGGTTAAAGAACTGGACTCCCACGTGGCTGACCACAGTTCATGTCCTGAATCTGGCAGCTTGCTTTCTCACTTTCCACTCTCTATCTTTCTCTGGTCAAATTAAATAATAATAATAACAATAAATAAAATTTAATTTAAAAAAAAAGGGAAATTAAAGGGATAAAAAAGGAGCCCACACTCCTGACTGTAGTCCTAGCTGGGAGGCTAAGGCAAGATGATCATGAAACAGCAAGACTGTCTTAAAAAATAACAGGGAAGGGCAAACAGGTGACATGGAAGTTGATGTGGCTGGATCCCACATGACCAACTACATGGTTTGAATCATGAACCTGGTGGCTTGAGGATCATGCCAATCACACATTGGACCAAAATCCCAAGAGGACAATGGAGGATAAGGATTCTGGTGTGGCCAACTCCCACCCCCCACAAGGGGTGTTTCTCACTCTGCCCTCCTTCTTTGATGAACACATAAGCCCTATAGCAAAAAATTTAAACTAGTAATAATAATATAAAGAAAGCTTCAAGGGACTATACATCATTTTTCCCTGTGTATGTGAGGTATATGGTGGACAGATAGGTAGATGTGCTGGCAAGAGACCCTGACAGTGCAGGACATAAGATAGGCAATAGAAGTAAGGTCAGGGTTATGAAGGGCAGCCCTAAGTTTTGTTTTTATTTGTAGATAACAGGTCTATGCAAAATAGACTAAAATTACTTAAATATGGAGAGAGGTCAGCAGGTGGCGTGGTGGTTAAGGCGTTGGACACTCCCACATGGTGGACCATGGTTCGAGATACAGACCTGGTGACTGCCTTGCTTTCTCACTCTCCGTCTCTCTCTGTGTGTCTGGTCAAATTAAAATAATGGAATGAATAAATAAAAATAAATAATTTTTAAAAAATCTATCTTAAAAAAATAGAGAGATGGAGAGACCATTTAAGAGGGCAGTTGGGGTAAGTAATTTGTGTTAGAAGTGATAAAAGTTGAAACCAAATTGATTTCAAGGAGAATGAAGGGAATGGATTCAAGTGATCTGTGAGAGTGGAGTTCCCAGACATTGGTGATTAATTGAATGTGAGGCTGGGAGGAGAAGGACTAATTCAGGATGACTCTGAAGTAACGTGATTGGTTATTCACCAAGAAAGAAGATAGGAGAGAAAGAAGCGGATTTGGAGGACGTATGATCATTGACTTTTCTGTCTGCTAGAATTAAAATGGTAAAATATTATCTAGAGAAGAAATTATTTAGTCTCTCTGTTTCTCTATTTACAAAAATATTGACTCTATAAGAAGAGCTGGGCTTTGAACCATTTAGAAGCCCACTGCCCTCTTTAGTCTACTGTGTAAATTTATAAGTTTAAGAATATTATGCCTCCTGACTTTGACAGGAGATCTTATAGCTTAAAGAGTATACTTTCTGTTCACATTATAATTCCCTGCAGCCTTATTCAGTATTAATTCCCCAAACCCTGGCACTCTGTTGTTGAGAGAATTCCATGTTCAGTATTCCGGTACATCTAATACCCTCTGTGATCATGGCAGGGACAGATGGGCAGTCATATACTGTTGCCAGCAAATAAGATCCACCATCTGTTAGTATAGGCACACACTCAAATTCTTCCCTTATCTTACTCATTATTAGATCCAGAAAATGATAAAAAGGAATAAATATCTTGTTGGATCAAGCTTATTGATATATTTTAAATAAAGGGAGATAACCAAGATATTTTGTGATACAGAACTTATATATGAGAATTAACCTGAAGTATGTAAATTCAGAGAGAGATCAGAAAAAAGAAAAGTAAGGTGAACAATCGCCAGACAACATGAAATTGGAGCACATAAGTGGAAAAGGGTTGTTGATGTTCTTGACAAAGGTTGCTCAGTAGGATCTGAGAATTTCAGGCAATGAGCATCATAAACATGTCCACATTTTTTGACTGTTTACTTCCACATCTGGGACTCTGGCTTGGGGAAATACTTTCAAATATAGAAAATGTAATATTCATCAAGCTCTTAAGCCTAACATTATTATTATAAACAATTAGAAACAACCAAAATATTGATTAGGTCACCAGGAAAATCATGATGTATTTTTCTATGCTTTTCTTTGTAAAAATGTTTAAGGACTTTTCCGATGACCCAGTAATTGTGGAATGGCTATAATATTAGATTGTCATTCAGTGAGATACTATGCATATATTATAAAAGATATTCGTGAGGCCCAGTGTGCTGGGTAATGCTGGCACCTTGAAGGCCAAGGTGATGTAGGAAGCCTGGATTCAATTCTTAGCCCACCCTGAAAGCTGAGTGCAGTAACACACACCTGTAGTCATAGCTACATGGCAAGATGAGGCAGAGGAATTATGACATAATTAGACCTTGTCTTTTAAAAAACAAGATTATTAAAAGTGGTTTAATAACTTAGAGAAAAGATACTTGCAAACTTGGAATTAATGGAATTTAGAAAATGATTCAAGCAGCATTTTTTTGTATTTATTCAGTTACTAAAGGAAGCTTAAAAATTAAAACTTGAGGGACCAACATTTAGTGTAATGGTTATGTGGCTGGACTCCCATGTAGTCGACCGTAGTTCGCGTCCCGAACCTGGTGGGTTAATAAACTCACGCTGGGCGCGTGTGCGTGCATGCCCAAGATTCAAGAGGAGAATGGAGGAGAAGGGATTGCGGCATGGCCATCCCCCCGGGGGGTGATTTCTTGCTTTCTGTCTCTCTGTCTCTCTCTGTCTGGCGAGCGCATGCGCCCTATAGCAAAAACCTCTCAAAAAAAAAATTAAAACTTGAATTCATAAAAGACCTTGAAAGAAAAGAAAACCAGGTTATTGTTGATGTGAACACAGAAGGAGGAAGACATAAATGTGAAACTGGCAGAAACCAGGAATTTCTTTATGTAACAGCAAACTGGAGAATGCATTTGTGAAACATATTTTAAAGGACTAATGGTGATATTTGAAGTAATCTTACAAATTGGTGGAAAAGATTAATACTTTAAGAGAAAAAAAAAATTAAGTCCTCAGTAGGCAATTCACAAAAGACCAAAGCAAGGTCAAAAGTAGGGGGAAAGTTCAGCTTTACTAATGAGCAAAGAAATATAAATCAGATGGCAGATTGAAATAAAATGAGCCTGCATAAAGTTTTGGACAGGATTGCTTCTGGAAAGCAGTCTGATAATATGTACCAAAATCCTTTAAATTTTATGTAACATGTTACCCTCTCTGTGGGGCATAATGTAAACATTGGACAAAGATTAGCTTGGTTAATCCTCGAATGTACCCTTTTATGTAAATGTGATTATTTTCATTTTAATGATGAGGAAATTAAAGTGCTAAGGAATAAGGCCAACTTCCCCAAGGTTATTTAGCTACTTAGTGCCAGGGCCAGGAACTCAAACCC